ATAGAAGACTAATTTTGGGTGCGCTTTCTAGCTATGCTTTATCTGCTGCAAACTGTGGGCTGTGGGCCAGAAGTGCTTTCCTGCTTGAAACCACAAGTTCTTGTCCCTCTTCCTGTATAATGTCCAAGAATTGTGCAATGAAACCCTGTTTCCACTGACTCACTTTAATTCACAGTCATAAGATTACCAGGTATGATTCACCAGGAAAGGACACCACAGCTAACAGCGATTGTATTGCCACGAGTGCGTTTGGTTCCTTACATCTTGGGTCAAGAAGACCTGTGGCCATTAATTCTATTGTATAAAAGAAGGCTGGAGCTCATCAAAGTTAGCCTCTGTTGGGCGTGGGTGCAAGAGAGGCTAGAGTTCAGCTAATATGCTTAACTGTGTACGTTAATAAGAATGGCAGTTGAAAGTTTAAATGGTCATGGGTGTGTTTTGAAACAGCAATGCTGAACAAGGTGATGTGATTTGAAAGTCTGTCTTTGCAGTAGAACTGTTTGAGGGACTGCTGGGAACGTAAACTGCCATTCAGCCGGCTAGATACAAACCTTTGCTTCCCTGTCATCCACTGCTGTGTTCAGAACAGTGTGGTGTGGGAAGAGTCAGCAACTTTGATTTTTTTATTGTCATCTAGATAAGGTTGTAGCTTAGTATTTTCAAAGCAGTTGCAGTTTTTAGGGGCCTGTTTTCTGTTACTTTTCAGTGGGAAGTGGGTGTTAATTCCCTGAGGCTTCTTTCAGACTGTTATTGTAATTTAATCTTTAAATATGGCTTATTAAGCCAAGCCTAAGAGGATTTAAGAAAATATTTTTGTTTATTTGTTTTCCTCTTTTTATTCATTTTTCACAGCACTTTGTCATGTGAATGGATAGTTATGTTATTATAGTTGCTGTTTTTGATGTCATAGAGTGAGTCAGCAAATGCTTTTGAATCATTATATGATGGTAACATATCAAAGGACAGTTTGCATGTCAAGATTTTTATTTTGCCTGGAATAACTCTTTACCAGGCCCTTCCTTGGCCAACTTGTCAGATGGTCAGGTGTTTATAGGTTAATGTTTAAAGTATGGATCTGCTTTGTGAAGTGATAGTGCAAAACAGTCTGGTTTAGTCAGCTGTTCTGCTTCATGTGCATTCAGACATTTGCTTTGTTCAGTGACAAAATGTTTACTTTAACTAGCTCAGGTAGTTATTTATTCATTATGCATTTATTCAGCACTGGGGATCAAAACCATGGTGTCCACCCATACCTTGCAAAAACTTTCAGAGGCAATCAAGTTGAGCAGGTGTAATGGAACTCCTAACTTACTTTCTGGAGCGTTTTTTTGTGTTAACATGGAACAAAAAAGCAGTTTTGTTAGTAGAGTATTGGAGTGAGCTTTTGAAAGTTTTGTGAATATGAGGCTATTTGGCATGGAAATTGAGAGTGTAAACAAGTGCTGGTGTGCTGCTAAAACGATGTGAATGTTCTCAATGTGAAAAATTACACTGTTCCTGTCCTTAAAAAAAAAAAAAAAAGTTGATAGAAACAATTTAATGAGGTAAAATGGTAATGTGGTCAAGGTGCTTCAAAAAGACTAGCTTTAGATTTGCTCTAATTCATGTCAAAACTACAAGTTGCCATGCTTTGAGGAGGCTGTGACCTTGAATTAATTAGCTTTGGTTAAGAATGCTTTCTCTGTTTCTCCCTAGGGAAACGAGGCCTCTGTCTAGATACTAGTCTTGTGTTTCAGTCTCATTCCCATTGTGTTTCTCTTCACTTATTCGTCTGACAATTATATCTAAAATTGACAAATTTTTACATTATTTTTATTACATTCAATTACTAGTGGAGTATGGTGAACTAGTTTCTGTAAATATGCTAGGTGTTAGGTGTGGTGAAACATTATTTTTACCACTTCAGGTCCTTTCCTATACGCAGATATAACTGAACACCTTTGTAATGTCATAATGCGTAGTATTACTACAGTGGAGTAAACCTTGAGTTTTAGAACAGTAAAGCAAATCAAATGAAACGGTTGCTTGGAGTGTTACATGTTAATAAACAAGAGCAGTCAGTACAGTAGGAAGATTGGACAGAAATGCCCAACATTTCTAGCCAGTGACACCTTGAACTCCTCTTGCTTTTGGTTTTCCCAGGTGACAAAGTAACTGTACTTTGCTGGTAGTGTTTATTTAGTTCAGTTGTACAAACTGAAGATTTAAACAATACCAGTTTATTTTCTTACAACTGCCTGCGTATGTATTAATTTGATAACACTGAGCTGTGTGGAGTGGTTGATGTGCTGGAAGGAAGAGATGCCATCCAGAGGGACCTGGAGAGGCTTGAGAAGTGGGCCTGTGAAAACCTCATGAAGGAACAACTGCAAGGGCCTGTGCATGGGCCAGGGCAATCCCATGCACAAATACAGGCTTGGTGGAGAATGGATTGAGAGAAGGACCTGGGGGTGTTGCTTGATGAGAAGCTCAACATGAGCCAGTAGTGTGCCATATCCTGGGCTGCATCAAAAGAAGCGTGACCAGCAGGTCAAGGGAGGTGATTCTGCCCCTCTACTCTGATCTTGTGAGGCCCCACCTGCAGTACGGCATCTAGCTCTGGAGGCCCCAACATAAGAAGGACATGGACCTGCTGGAACGAGTCCAGAGGAAGGCCACAAAGAAGATCAGAGGGCAGGAGCATCTTGTGTAGGAAGACAGGCTGAGACAGTCGGGGAACAACCTGGAGAACAACCAGGCAACAGCCTGGAGAAGAGAAGGCTTTGGGGAGACCTTACAGCAGCCTTCCAGTACCTAAAGGGGCCTACAGGAAAGATGGGGAGGGACTGTTTATCAGGAAGTGTAGTGATAGGATGAGTGGGAATGGTTTTAAACTGTAAGAGGGTAGATTTAGATTAGATAATAGGAAGAAATTCTTCACTCTGAGGGTGGTGAGGCACTGGAACAGGTTGCCCAGAGAAGTTGTGGATGCCCCATCCCTGGAAGTGTTCAAGGCCAGGTTGGATGGGACTTTGAGCAGCCTAGTCTAGTGGAAGGTGTCCCTGCCCATGGCAGGGGGGTTGTAACTAGACGGTCTTTAAGTTCCCTTACAGCTCTAACCATCTGTGAAGCATTACTTTTGATACAGCCCAGGATTTGTTTGGCTTTCTGGTCTGCGAGCGCACATTGCCGGCTCATGTTGAGTTTCTTATCAACCAGCACCCCCAAGTCCTTCTCCTCAGGGCTGCTCTCAATCCATTCTCCACCCAGCCTGTATTTGTTTGCAAAAATCTTGCATGCTAACCTAGGTTTTATATGGTAGTCTTCTGTGAATCAAGTGTTAAACAGAGGTCTTGGTCCTCCTTATACTTTGTCATTTCAGAAGTCCCAAGGTTATGCTGAATGCAAGTGAAGCTCATGGAAGACACCAGACTTTTTCTTTTTTTTTTTTTTTTTTTGCATCTCGGTTAGGCTTTTTTATGTAAACGTGCCTCAGTTAGCCAAAATTGACTTAGTATTCTTGACAGTTTTGTTATAGTGGCTGGAAAGAGATCTATTATGCATTTGGATCATGCACGTATGTTGCTGTAGAGGTTGTTTTGGGGGTCCTCATACATTGATTGTTGCATTCCTGTCTTACTGTAGTGTTGTTTTTGCAGATCATCTAAATAGCATTACATGCAAGTAGGGAAAAAGAATTATATAGCCTTTGATGCCTGTATACTAGTAATATTAGATACTGTTTGGTTATGTTCTATAAATGGTGTTTTGTTTACTTGACCTTAGGGGTAAATATCAGCTTTTACAATTGTGTGACAGGACTTTTTTTAAGATAAAGTAATTTGAAGAAGGACATCAAACTATTAGTGTGTCCAGAGGAAAGAGACCAAGATAGTGAAATGTCTTAAGGGCAAGATTTAGAAGGACCAGCTGAGGTCACTTGGTTTGCTCAGCTTGGAGAAGAGAAGGCTGAGGGGTGACCTTGTCATGGTTGACAACTTCCTCAAGGGGGCAGCAGAGCAGGAGGTGCTGATCTCCTCTCTCAGGTGACCACCGATAGGACACGAGGAAATGGAATGAAGCTGCATCAGGCGAAGTTCAGATTTGATCTTAGGAAAAGGTTCTTCACGGAGAGGGTGGTCAGTCAGTGGAATAGGCTCCTCATGGAAGCAGTCACGGCACCAAGCCTGTCAGAGTTCAAGGAGCATCTAGACAATGCTCTGAGTCATATGATTCAGTTTAAAGTAGTCCTGCAAGGAGCAGGGATTTGGACTCGATGATCCTTATGGGTCCTTTCCAACTTGAGATATTCTGTGTTTCTAAGAATATTTTTATACTACAGTGTCAGCCTTCTGATGAGAATTAAGTTGTGGATCTCACTGTCACAACAGTCTGTGGAAAATACAATAATAAATGAGTTTGGGTACATGACATTACTCTGGTTTGGCACAGTATGGTAGTTCTTTATTCTTATGCATTAGCTTTGTACCAAATTGTGAGTATTTCTGCTGGTTTTGTGTTACTTTGGAATGTGTATTAAGATTAATTAACCAGAAGAATGCAGAATAGGAAGCAACTGCCTGAATAGTTGCTTTGCAGAAAAGGGTTGAGAGTTTATAGCTGTTAAATGAGCCAGCACTGTTTATACGAATATTTTCCTGCATGGATTTCTCACTTTTTCGTATTAATAGGAACATAGCTTGCAGGTTGTGGAGTTTATCCTGTTGTTCCACTAAGTGTAGATAACAACTGGTGTTGAATATTTTGGCCCGTTTAAGCCCCACACTTACAAAATGATGTAATTGGATTTGAAAATCCAGAGAGTGGCGGGAATGATTGGATTAGAAAACACAGCCCTCAAGGAAAGATTAGCCTTCCTGCAACCCTTTATTCTAAGGAGAGCAGCAATCTATTTGTGTTGTCCATTGTGGACAGGACAATGAAGAAAAGGGATAGTGAAACACTGGAGTAGGTTTCTTGGAAAAAAGTCGCTGGGGCCTCAGAGAACAGACTAGATAAACATGTCAGGAATAATTCAGGTAAGTAACCCACTTTGGGAAGGAATGGACTTCTGGAATACTTGCAAGTCTAGATATTGCCAGTGTAAAGCTGATTTAAAAGTTGTTTCCCCTGGAACTAACTCTGTGTGAGCAGACTCTTAACTAACCGAGGGCAACTTCCTACCCAAACACAGAGACTTTTTACCTCAAAATCTTTCTTAATCTGTTTTTTTCCCCCTCTTCTTATACTGTAAGCTCTTTCAGTTAGAGACTCTCCTTCAAAGCATAATACAGTGGGATTTAACTTTTTTAGACCTGCCTATTAGAAGATGTAATTATTCGTAACTAATTGCAAGATCAATGTTTTGTTTTCTTATATGGAGTGAGAAATCCCTAGCGTATTTGCAATGTTGTTTAAAGTAGTATGGTCAACTTAATTTTAAAATGTTAAATGGGGTGAACTTCTGAAGGGCTTCCTAACTGCCAGGGATCCTTTTAAAAATACTTATCCTGCTGACAAGTAGTGTTGAATAAATTTATCTGCCGTTCTTATAATCAAGTCATTTGTGTTTTTCTTGGCTATACTCCTTTTTAAGTTTTGTGAATTTTTTGCTTTTGGTGACAGCGTTTTTCTAGAGAATAATAAATCTCAGCCAGAACTCAGTCAAAGCATAACCTGGTTATTACTGGCTAGGAAGGCAAGAAGGTATACAGTGGGCTTCCATGTTGAGTTATTTTAATGAGGGTGTGATTTCCTGGTCAGCTGAAGAATGTGGCTATTCACCATGCCCTGGGCAGCCAAATGCATTTCATGTAGCTATGACATGTGCTGAATGGGAAAGCAGAGCTAACTGAGAGGTAACTTTTGCCTGTGTAGAAAGGGGTGCTAGTTTTGACACATGGAAGATAGCAAAAATATGTCTAAGAGAGGATACTTCACTGTTTAGTTCCAGCAAAAGCGTAGACAGATTTATGTACTTGTGCCATTGCATCCGTGGTCTTTCAGCAATGGATGGCTTCAGTGGTGTGTGTATGTGTATATATATTAGTGTATACTTACTAATATATAATTGTATACATACTTTACAGTGTGTATATATGTGCATATATAAGTATTATATATACTGGTCTATGTGTGTTGTCATGGATGCATGCTTGATTGAAGCCACAGTAGTCTTTATATAGAATCAGATTTTTGTTATTGCTAGTTATATAACTAGTGATCTAGATGTAAAACTGTTCTGATTTTTTTATTGTACAGAAAAGAAATAACTATTTCCCGTCTTCCTATGGACAAAAACATTGAGAAAACTTTATTAAAGTATTTCTAGATTGTGTAAAGTAGAATGTGCAATGCAAGTGGGGTAACACATTAAATGTGAACAAAATAGCTTGTACTTTAAATAATTAAAAAATTAGAGTTCAGTATTCAATTACATAAATGTATAATATTAACTTTTTTGTTTAGTTCAAGGAAGAAATTTCTAAGCGTTTCAAGTCCCACACTGATCAGCTTGTGTTGATATTTGCTGGAAAAATTTTAAAAGATCAAGATACTTTGACTCAGCATGGGATTCATGATGGACTCACTGTTCACCTGGTTATCAAAACACAAAACAGGTAACCTTACTGTTGAGTGATCTTCTATTTACCTCTTAGCAGTAAAAAAGCTGTGAATTCTTTATGTGACAGCTTTCTGTTGGGCAAACCTAGATTTTACTAAATCCCTTTAATCAGCTCCTTAGTCACAGTTGGTGCAGAATAGCGGTCTGAAGTTACAGTGTTCTTTTCTTTGGTTTATCTTGTATTTTAATTGAATTCATGTTTCTAAATGCAAGTCTCTTACTTTTTTGTTACTTAACTTTTTTGGGGTTTAGTGCTGAGTGCTGGCTGTACTTTTGCTCCATAGTTCTTAGATATCAGCTCTTGCCATCCATAAAGATATGTTGTGCAACTTTTTCATTCTTTCACGCATGAAAACTTTAAGTGAATCCTTGCTTGCTGTTTTGGTAAAACAAGGAAAGAAAATTTTTATGAGAGAACTGCTTTAATGCAACTGATTTATCTGGCTGAACAGAAAGACTTGGATTTTAAGATTTTTGTTTGTTTGTTTGTTTTGGTGAGGCAACTTTAAAATGACCATGAGAAAGTTGCATCAGTTGAGCTATGTCATCTGCCCATTATTTCCTGTGAAGTGCTCAGAAGGAAAAGGTCCAACTAAAAAAATCCTTTCAGCAAATAGGGTAATGTATCCCTTAATTGCATCTAGCTTGCTTAGTCAATAATGTGTTTGTTGTTCTAGACTGAAAGTGTTCTTGCTCGTCTTCTACTGAAGTCTTTCCTGTTTGTGGTGAGGATCTCTTCCTGTGGCAAAATGTCAGATTATAAAGGAAAGAGCATGGAACTTAAGAGAGAAAAGAAATCTGCTTTCCCTTTCCAGGCCTCACCAAATCACAAAGGCCTACTAATAACATTAGCATTAAATTTAGGCACCTGTTGAAATTGATGTTTTCAATTCCATGCTCACATCCTGGGACTATCTTCTGTGTCCTGGAATCTTGTCTCTGTCAAAACACTTTTGTTTGCACTGGCAGAGGTCTCCCTTCCCTGCCCTGTGCCTCCCTAGCCTTGAAATTTAGGCCTGATAGCCATCCCAATCTTGCATACAGTATTAGCTAATACTGCAATTTTGTGCTCCATGCCTCTAAACTAGTGTTCTGCTGCTGTCATCGCTTCTGCTTTTTTCACCTGCAGCCTTGAATATGGCAGAGAGGCTTTATAAGTAGTGATAGCAGGATGCCTTTGACTTGCACAGTCTTCAGAGGGTTCATAGGTTGGACCTACAATAACAAGAGGTACTGAAATGCAGGTCCCAGTCTCTTGCACGTTCTTGCACTTTGCCTTTGGCCAAGGGAGCACCCATTCACAATGCCACATTTATGGATTTTGGGGAATTTTTTGTATCCCTGCATCAGTCCTCTCAGCATTGCAATCCATATCTCCTCTCTGTCCCACTTTTTTTGAATAATTTTAGAAGAGTGTATTACTGTTATCTTCAGAATGCTTTAATCATGTTGCAGACAAGGAAGTACAAACAAAAAACTACAGACCCTTTGTATGTGTCTACCCTATCTTCAGATGAGGCAGTAATGTTTTCACCTGCTAGCTTTGCTCAAATAAACTAAAAGTATGCCTCTACAACCTGCTAAAGAGAATTACCAGCACTATGAAAATCACCTTTGAGAAAGCATAACATTGTTGTGAACCATCTCAATATTATTCTTACTAAAATACCTGGATTTTATGCTTGACTCAAAAGACATGACTTAGACCCTGCCAGTGTGGCCTGGCAAGTGCTGATTTTTTGGCCATGAATATCAAGATTGGATTGCTCCGAACCGCTTTACACTATGCCATTTACTTTTCTTTTAACTGTTGCTGCCCTGTATCTGAATAAACAAAAGTTTTTTTCCAAAGCTAGATCTGAAGATGATATTTTCCCTTCTAAACTATATTAAATGTGTAACTTTCAAATAGGAATCCTCATATATCCCAACCGATCCTTGTTGAAAAAAGATAATTTTATTATTATGTACTACATTTTCCAGAATGATACAGGCTTGCAGTGTAATTTTGTAACCTGGCCTATACAGTGTCAGAGTAGCAGTGAGCGATTAGCAGTGCAGATGCATTGAATTTCTGAATACAAAGTTCCGAGTCAACATCTATAATTGTTCACAAGCGAGAGGAAACATAATGGTGAATTGGGTATAAAACATGATGTCCACTTTATAGGAATTTCACTCTCTCAGAGACTTCAGGCTGACAGACTTGACAGTCAAACCATTATCTTGAGGGTATATGCCCCCAGTTTCCATAAAAGCAGTATGAACTGCAAGTTTTCAATCTCGTGTACTTTTCTCTCCTGCTTTGTGAACCTTTCTTGTCAGTTACGTGAAGAGGTACAGATGCTTCTGAAAAGAGTATCTCAGTTGAAAAACCAAAGAGGGTTTTATGCTTATTATTTTCCTTTTGCTTACGGAGGAAAATTTCTGTGTTTTCTAGACCAAAGGAAACCAAATATCTTCAGCAGAAGATGCGCCGTCTATAATTATATGGCCTGTAATCTTCTTCATTGAAGTTACAGCTGTCTGGGTTACTGTAGTTGTCTTGTGTTGAAAGTTCGCAGTTGCTGTAAATGTTACAGGGTATTAATGCTTGTTCTTCTCGGGAGCCCAGAGTTGCACCTGATGCCTTATGTCAGGGCAGCTTATGTCAAAGCAGGCATCCAGGTTTTCATATTCACTTTCCTGTATTGTTAGCGGCTGTCTGGAAGGTTTCCTCTAGAACAGGTTTTCATTCAACAGAATCTGTATGTGTTTTGGTAGACCTGAAAGTAAACAGGAAAGGAACACTAATTAAAATATACAAGACCGAATTTGTAGGAATCACTATGGACTTAAGTTTTAGTAAAACTGTGAGATCTTGTTGACTCAAATTCATTTATCCTCCACACCCAGAAAATCAGTAAGAACTTGAATGAGGTGATTTGGTCCCATGGCACCATATACCTTCATGACTTGGCATGCCACATTTTATTTACCTGTTTATAAGAATGTTGGTCAAATCAGCAGGGTATACCAGTCGATGGAATACTTACAAGCTAGTATTGATGATTTGGTGAAAGAACGTGCAAAGTATTTAATAGTTCTTTTGTTTGGTACCTGATGTTTAGCCTAGAGTCAGAGAACTCCCAGAAACCTCAGGGAAGGCTCTGGACCTAAGGCATCCCTTAGGCTTGTGGGTTTTTGTTTCGGTGGTTTTGGTTGGTTGGTTTTGTTTTGTTTGTTTTTTTTTTTTTCTGGTCTTTGCTTTAGTGACACCAGTGCAGAATTTTACTATAGCTGAAAGGTACTCTGAGATGAACTGAGGTATGAAATTTAATGTACTGTCAAATCCTCAAATCTTTGTGTGAGGTCCAATTTCATAGTTTCTACAAGGTATTTTATGCTATAGTTCTGCAAATACAGGCATTTATGAGTTTGAAACCCAAATCAGTACTCCAGTCTCATTCAACAATCAAAGTAGCCTCTTTTCTTTTAAATAGAGGCTAGGTTAGCTTTACACAAGCTCAGTCCTTTGATCTCTTTTACTACATGGCAGAATCTGTGTTTATGTTTCTGCAGTAGAAAGGTGGTGAGTACATGACTTGGGCAGCCTTTAGTGCCTGTGCTAAATTATGCTGGCTGTTACTACATTTTTATCCTGTTCTTGAAGTCTTAAAGGTGAGTGAGATTCTGGTATTTGTCTTCTAATGAAATAAGATGTTGACTGAAGTTCACATTCAGTAAGGCATCCTATTAAAGATGTGTCATGAAATAAATCAGACATCAAATATTGATAGGCTTTATTTCTTTAAGCTCCAGGTATGTAATCAGTAGTATTTGAGTATAGTGGAATAAGGCAAGGATCCTTAAATCAAGGTAAGGACAGAAGAAACAATTCATTTGCAGGCATCCTGGGGACAGGGTGAGAAGGTGGTAATGGCTGCGGTGGTCCCCATCCCTGTCCTTAATGTTTCAAACTACTGTTCTGGAAAATTGATGACATTACAGATGTCTGAGAGAGATTTGTTACAGGAGGCCACCTAGAGATAATAGTGTGATTTTTTTTTTTTTGAGAAAGAATCAAAACATAAATTAAGATTCTCAAGTAAGATACCATTCCTGTATTTAATGGCATTATTTACATTAACATCTTAAACTTGAGACTTTTCAACTTGATTTTTTAGATCACAAGACCACCCAGCTCAACAAGCAAACACCACTGGGAGTACTGCTACCACATCAACATCAAGCAGTAGTACCTCAACACCAGCTTCAACAAATAGTAACCCTTTTGGCTTGGGTAAGAATATTTGTTAGGTAGCATGGTGGGTGTCTTCTCTTGGATTCAGGTAATTGTCCCTGAAGCTTTATTCTAATGTAGACAGAACTTTAAAAAAACCCCAAACAAACACACCACCCCAAAAAACTGATTACAAATGCCTATGGTATTGGTTGTAGAAGGTTTCTGATCAGTAAGTTATCAGAGGAAAGTTGAGTACTTAATTTTATATGCAGAACTTCAGACTTGGGCTTTCACCTCCAGTAGTAAGATGCCACTGAAGTTACATTCTGGCACTATGGGTAACGAAACTCCTTCCAGTGTCCTACTGCTCCTTAAAAGTGCATCTGAATTGCTGAGAGGAGAGTATTGATGAAGTTATTGACGTAATGTGAAGCCAAGATCTCGAACAGAAGTAACAACATTGCTCTTAATCTTACAATTCAGTATTTCTCAGGTTCTAAGTCTGATAGCATTATCAGTCTTCTCTTTCATGAATAAAGAGGCTGCAGTCCGTTGAATTAAAAATTCTATCTATTTCTGCAATCACAGTGGAGGTTTTGGTTCTTTTTTTTTTTTTTCTTTTTTTTCGTGGGGTGGGGGAGAGGTAGAGAGGTAGAGTCGGAAAGCTAACCATAGTAAGCAATTGCTTTTTTAGGCATAAACAGTTCTTCAGACTGACTAGTATCTTCTAAAAGTTTTTGTTTGGATTCAACAAAAGGAGATGAATTCAAAGCATAATTAGTTCTTGGAGCATTAGGAAGAAGATCGGCTATACGTTAATTAGAGTAGGGGATATGAGTCATATTGGGATATCTCTCTTGGTTATAGTCAAAACCAAGAGGAGACAGATAAATGATTATTATAAATGCATTGGAAAGTGTTGGGGGCACAAAGGCCCCAGAACTCAAACATCCCTTGGATCTTAGCTTTGGAAAATAAAAATAAAAGCTTTTAGAATTGTATCAAGTTAATTTCAGATGCAGTTTGTTGTATTTCCAGTTATGTGTCTTGTTATTTAAAGAAGCAAGCTCCTACTGGATAACTCCTTAACAGCCTCGCAAAGATAGGGGTTTTCATTATTTTGAAGTGTGGCTATGTTCAAGTATTTTGTATTTAGAAAGAACTTGGATGTGTTTAGAAGCTGAAAGTTCTATTATATTTTTTTCATCCTCTTAAAGGTGGCCTTGGAGGTTTGGCAGGCCTGAGTAGCCTGGGCTTAAATGCATCAAACTTTTCAGAGTTACAAAGTCAGATGCAACGACAACTTATGTCCAACCCAGAAATGATGGTTCAGATAATGGAAAATCCATTTGTTCAGAGCATGCTTTCAAATCCTGACCTGATGAGGCAGTTAATTATGGCTAACCCTCAAATGCAGCAGCTGATACAGAGAAATCCAGAAATCAGTCACATGCTGAATAATCCAGATATAATGAGACAGGTATGTAGAAGGATCTCTCTAAGTTCATGACCTTTGATTATACTGTAACTGTGGACAACAGAGCAGGAATTGGATATGCTTAGTTGAGTGCTTAAACATTCTTGAAGTATTTAGACTTGTTAGAAAATCCATACAAGATTGCTGTAGGCAATTTCTAGTTGTTAATGTCCAAAATAGTCTGATAATTCAGAAATCTGAAGTTTTGAAAGACATTGAAAACTATGTAATCATGTCTGAGGTTAGAGTTGGATGTCCCTGTGTGCACTTGAAACCTTCTATTGTGTAGCCAACAATGAGTTTACCAAAAGTAGTAATTCTCCAATATACTACACATTTTCATTATTTTAATTTTATCTAACTCTGGGTACTTCTGAGTGCTTTTAAAATTCAGTGGTATGTAAGATATGCTGTGTGGCAGAATGTATGAAAAAACAAATTGATACTTTTGAAAATGTAGATACTTATTTTAAAGTTCATATTATAGACTGCCTGCTGTAACAATGTTAGGAATAGTAGGAGTATATTGTGTTGAAAAGATGAAGAACAAAAAGAACAGTTCATTCAAGGTTTTTCTTCTGTGTAGCCAGTCCTTCCTGACCCAACCAATGGTTGTGGTAGGACGTTGGCTAAATACCTAATTCAGTTGGCTTCGACTAAGCTGACATCTTGATTTGACTTTAATCATAATTTGAAGCTGGGTTAGACAGCAGTAATAGCGATATTGCCAAATGCTGACTTTTTCACTTTAGAATGGATTTCTTATTAATACAGATTAAACGTTCCACTTCCCTAGACACTAGAACTTGCTAGAAACCCTGCAATGATGCAGGAAATGATGCGAAACCAAGACCGAGCCTTGAGCAACCTTGAAAGTATACCAGGTGGATACAATGCATTGCGACGTATGTACACAGATATTCAGGAGCCAATGTTGAATGCAGCACAGGAACAGGTAAGAAAAGATTGCAAATGCCACTTAAAGTAAATATTTTTATTTAAAGAAAGCATGTAAGTAATGTGAATTTCCAAATGTGTACTTGACAAAACATTTCATGAAGCCACTGTGTGGCCTCTTAGTCTTGAGAGGGAAGATCTTAAAAATTCTGTGCTCTTCTAAGCTTGAAGATATTACATTACCAATACTGCTTTGTGTGTTTGAGAAGCTATTTTAAAGTTAATGAATTTCTGTATTACTTGAATTTGAATTCCTTTAATTCTTTGCCTTAAAATTCTGAGGTCCAGGAAATTTTTTTAAGGGTGTGTTAGTAACGTGGAACCTAAGATGGGAAGAAAAAAGGCTTTGAAGTTGGAAACCAGTATGCAAGCTATAATCCTACTGTGATCAAAATACCAGTGCAATAGCAACACTGCTTTCAAAAAGGAACGTGATTTAATTTTTTTGGAGGTGCTAGTGTCTCTCAATGTTGGCATCTTTTCATAATGTTTACAATGAATTGCTGTAGGATGGTGAGTATAACTAATCAAGAGCCATCGACATTTATCTTCATGTGTGATTTTGAAAGGGTAACTTGCTATTTATAGCAGACTTTAGAACAGTTTGCTTTAGTAGGTGATACATGTTTGCTTTCCATCCTTTGTAGTTTGGAGGTAACCCATTTGCTTCTTTAGTAAGCAATGCATCAACAGGAGGGGACAGTCAGCCATCTCGCACAGAAAATAGAGATCCTCTACCAAATCCCTGGGCTCCTCAGTCCAGCTCACAGACTTCCACAACGGGTACCAGCACCAGCGGTGAGAGCGGTGGCAACAGTAGTGCTGGAAATAGCACCTCTGGCAGTACGGGTCAGAGCTCAACTGCACCAAATGTAGGACCTGGAGTAGGAGGTGTGTTTGTTATTGTATGTATTTGCACATACTTGGGAGTTTGCTGAAATTATTATATCATTAGAAAGAGAGTTTTTGATTCAAAGTTTTGATTGCTGTTTACTTTCATAGAACACTTGACTAGTATCAAAGACCTCTATAGAAAAAGAAACACAAAAAGTATCCTAAGAGTGATCATAATACTTGTGTATTGCCTTAGTGTGTTGCCTTAAAATGACAAAGATAGGGAATCTCTAGACGAATGATAATGTATTTCCTGTTTGGACGCAAACTGCTAATAGTGAGATACATAGTGGGACTGCTTGTTGGATACAGCCTCTATGTTAACTTCTAGGGTAGATGTTTAAGCAGAACCCCACTGAGGTTTATTTCAAGAACTAAAACTCTTAGAAATCACGTGGCTATATCCTCATTTTAGGTAGTCTAATTCTTCTGATGATAGTCAGGATGTTTACTAAAGTGACTTTTTACTTCTTTTGTTAAGCTGGTATGTTCAACACACCAGGAATGCAGAGCTTATTACAGCAGATAACAGAAAACCCTCAACTTATGCAGAATATGTTGTCTGCACCCTATATGAGAAGCATGATGCAGTCATTAAGCCAGAATCCTGATCTTGCAGTACAGGTAAATGCATTTGGTGTAGTAATGTATTGTGTGCACACTGAAGTAAAAAAATAATTTTAAAGAAGTTGAATCTATGATACAGTTGAATTTTCACTTGTGCCAATAATTGTTTGTAGTGAACGGCCCAGTTTTTAGTGTTAATGCCTAACCCACTGAAGTTATTACCTACTTGCATTTAACAATTTGTTGCAGTGATCTTCAATTTGTAGTTGGACGTCATGCCAGTTGGGCTTCTAAAATAGCTTGTAAGTTTGTGTATGTTTTGTACAGACCTGAACGTATAACCCAGCATAAGAACCATCTAAACAAAACAAATGCTTTGGTTGTAAATTAAGGTAGATCTGTCCATAAATAAATAGCCCCATTAGCTTGGTAGGAGAGAATTGAAGGGAGGGGAGGTGGTGCCATGTCTAGGCGTTATTTTGGTTTTAAGTTCTCTTTTGTGACCTGTGCTCACTGTAGAAATGCAGATCCTGTTTTATGAATGGTATCATAGAAGTGCTTTCAAATTTTATTTAAAGCAGTAATATCCAAAGTCAAATCCCGAACTGAGATTAAAAAAATGTTATCTTTTCTGTATTAAATACTCACTTGGAAGGTATCCCTGACTTCAGGTGATGTATACAGGGAAACTGTCACTTAGATCTGTAGCAAAGGCCGAGCAGAAAAGGACTTTCTTGTAATATAAATGAGGTTGTCTTGCCAAATATCTGACAATTCATTCACTTAAAAGATTAAAAAACCCAACCAAACAAAACCAAAATCACAACAACAACAAAATAAACCTACCCCCCACCCCACCCCACCCCCCCAAAAAAAAACCACCCAAAAAACCAAAACCCCAAACCACCAACAAAGCCCCTGCAACACGTTCAGGCTGGTGGTTCATAACAGGTTTTTGGCCAAAGGAGAAGTACATGATTATTATTCTGTGAGGTTATTTTCATAGCCTATTACTGTGAAAGTAGTTGTCTTAAGATCCACTGTGGTTTTTACTGCTTGATCTTTGAAGTTAAATATTTTTTTTCCACAGATGATGTTGAATAACCCTTTATTTGCTGGAAATCCTCAACTTCAGGAACAAATGAGACAACAACTTCCTACTTTTCTTCAGCAAGTAAGATGAGATACTAGCCGTTAATAAATATCTGCAAGTCAATGAGCAAAATTTTCAGTAAATTGGTGTCTTTCTCTGATTTGGCTAAAAGCTAGATTCTATAATATATAGTCATAACTTGGTGTCTAAAGCTAATGTCGTCCCTTGCTGATAAATTCTTGCTTAATGTATCCATCCCTTTCAAAAGTTAAACCTGACTTTAGTGGATATTTTTGTCTGTGGCTAGTGCAGCCGCTTAGATTTGCGCTTGCTTCTTTGCTTAGAAGGAATAATTGTTCTTACTGTGCACCAGCTGGAGAACACCTGTTTCCAACGTGATTTGTTTCGCAAATTAAAACATTAGTGCTTTTCCCACTGATAGAATAAAGTTTCACTATGCTTTTCTCATAGCACTTCAAACCTCCATTAAGTATTTGGGTAAAGAGATCTTAGAGCATCTCTTGAAAGTCCCAGGTCATTAGCTAATTCAAAAGAAGTGGGTTCTGAAGTTTGTCTGTAAAGATTGCCCTACCACCATCTTCCCCTCTTAACAAATTGTGCTTGGTATTAGCTGCCACAGTGTGTAGTAGTATTGTGTTCTCTAAATAGGAGGAAGCAAGATTTTTTTATTTTAGGAATTGAAAACTTAATCCAGTGCCTGAGTTTCATTATTAGACAGTCTTTGCAAATCAGAGTAAATGTGTGTTGCCAAGATCTGATTGCACACAGGCAGTTTTGAGTGAAATAATTAATACATACATTAATTACAGTAGCAAGTTCATCGTTCAGAAGGAAACTGTTTTGTTTCAACCACATGAATGGCTGTAGTGTTTCATAATGCTGCTGCTTTGTGATGAGTCAGTAGTATCTGAAGAGCTGGTACCACACGTATGTTTTGAAACCTGTGGATAAATGGTAGTTAATGACGGCACAGTAGGAATAATTTCTGTTTCCTTTGGTTATCTCCTTCTGTCAGTATCACCCTGGGGTTTATCTGCACAGCTAGTTCTCTGTTGTATTGACTGTGCCAGGTTAGATTATCAGCAGTGTTAGCAGATAAAGCACAGCAGAGAAATATCTGTGGATTCTCAGGATTGTGACAGTATTGCAGCTCATACTTTCTTGCGTATCTACTGGCATTTATATTATTGGGTGACAGAAACCACGTCATATTCCTCTGCATAATGGGAGGCATCTTTTACAATAAAGGGCAATGGCCCAGCAGAACTAGGAAGACCTATCTGTCAGTTACTCCATCTGCAGCTTTTATACACGTCTTAACAAGAATTACTGCTACTTAACAGCTGGAATTAATAACATTAATAGAGACAAGATCCAGGTCACCTAAGTGCTCTGAGAATTGTTGGGCCACCATTTCTGTAAAGCAATTCCAAATATCAGACAGTAAGTCATGATTTAAATATTTTCTTAAAGTATTTGCAGCAGCTTTCTTTGGAGAACCAAAAATGTTTTCCTCTTTAAAATCTGGGAAAACTTTGCCAGCTATATATTTACTTATTTTCTGATTTTTAGCTGTCAGGAAGATAAAAATCCAAGAGATTAATGGAGAATTTTAACAACTTGCTGTGCTTAAGTCTTGTTATGCACCCATGTTCCAGACTGGAGTTCTTCATTTCCTATTCTGCAATTCTGCTCTGCACCAGAGGAAGTTTGACCTTACTCTGGGCATTTCTGTGTGAATCAAAAATGTTTTTGAAGCACAAAGAATTTGGTCGAGTTGCCAAGTGAAGGCTGCTAAGATTAATAAGCCTGTCTGCTATTTGAAGTAGGTCTGGCTACCAAGACTCTGTCACTTGTGACTGAAACACTTTAATTTTCACTTATCTGTGGCATCTCTAAGCAGAGGTGAGCATAAGCCTCTGGGTTTGTATCTAAAATAATCAGGTTTCTGGACACTTTGATTTCAGAAATGGAAAGGATTTGCCTTTTAAATTACCTGTCGATGTGAAAACCAGTTTTTAACTGAAGTTGCAGTGGAGTGAGAGCCCTTGAATATTGTACATTTGCTTGCTAGTATGTTTTGCAGTGTATCTGTTTGCATTTGTCTAAGCTGTGAGGGCACTACAGGTATGAAAACATGCCCAAATAGTCATGCCCAAACTGCTGTGGTCTGAATTTAGCTAGGAAAAAGAAATACTTTATAACTTAGGTACCTATTGGTCAAGTTTCATTGTGTTCAGCATTGTTGCTTACCAGTAGTGTGATATAGGAGACTAAATCTAGAATGATGTTGGACTAATACAGTCCTATGGCTTTGAAAGATGAAGTCTGCTAGAAGAGGTAATGAAAAATACTTTTGCTTGTGTACTTTGAAAGGCTTTGTCCCCATCTAGAGAGTTTATTGATTGCCTCCTATGAAAGTTTTCTCAAAAAAAGAAAAACATACTTGAAGGATTTAATGTAAATATTCAAATATAAAGTTGAAAAACAAGTTTTGAAATCATGTTGGACTCTATAAAACATCTAGTGATAACGATTCACTTTGAACATCTGCCAACGATTAAGAGTTTCTCTCCTTTTCTTAGATGCAGAATCCTGACACGTTATCAGCTATGTCAAACCCTAGAGCAATGCAGGCTTTGCTACAGATTCAGCAGGGCTTGCAAACACTAGCAACAGAAGCACCGGGTCTTATACCAGGGTAAGAATCAGTCTTACAAATTTAGACAAGAACTTTTCTCTTGTGTTATGTGGTTCATTATTTTTATATGTAGAGGTTTACCCAGTTTTTACTAAAGATGACGACTCCTGCCTTTTTTAGTTTAACTAAACTCGGTTTAGAATCTGTTACATTTTTGCCTCCTGTGCACTTCTGAACAGTGATGACTCTGGTCTTTGTCTTAATATGTTACTTAAGTTGTCATCCACTCTTTCACAGGATTTTTACTCAGTGATTAAATAAATGAGAAGAGACAGGCTAGTATTTATTATTGAAGTGGTGTGTTTCTTTTTCTGTCATGTATGCAGATTTAATCCTGGTTTAGGTGGATTGGGAAACACTGGAGCTCCTACAGGATCCACTGTACCTAGTTCTGTTCCTAGTGAAAATACAAGTCCAGCATCAGGAATTGCTGAACCTGGTCACCAGCAGTTTGTCCAGCAGATGTTGCAGGCACTGGCTGGTGCAAATGCTCAGGTGAAGTACATCTCTATATTCTAATTTCTTTTTAATTCTTACTTTTTTTTTTTTTCATTGTAAACCACTAGAAAGAAGGCTGATAGTTGCAGAGAGTGCTCCCTGGGTACTTCTGGTCAGAGGAGGCTTAAAAGTGCTGTTGCAGCTGTGCAAGTACATGCTGGAAAAACACCAAATTTGAGTCAAAGTGTCCTCTGAACAGTTGATTTTTATACGCTCATCTTCATACCCTTGAATTTCTGAAATGCTTGGAAAGATTGAGGCAGATTAGATAGAGGTGATAACCTTCACTGGCAAGTGAAGTGTGGGCTTGGGCAAGAGAAAAGCTTAAGCACATTGAACACCATTAGTTCTGTGTTTTTTATCTGTATTGCTGGCTGTTACTTTCTGGCTGTGACTAAGCCTCTGCCCCATACTTTGGAATAGCCACAGTCTGGTTATTTGGAGCCTGGCTTTGTTGACATCCTGCAGGTTCAGACTGCAGTGCATTTTGTTAACGTACTGTGTGGGATTAAGGGTTTCCAGAGAGCTCCAGAAGTCAAGCAAAGGGGGCAGCTTTGCCAGTAGTTGTAGGGTGGTGAGCAAGACTAGCTTTAAAGGAGACGTGCAATTAACTCTCAAGAGTGCTGTGTGAAACAGCACCCTTACTCTGTGGTACATACCCAGTGCAATGGCAGACTGCTAGTGGAAGGGGCAGTCCTACTTCTTCCTCCTCTGTTACCGCAGGGTGAGATAGTTCAGCTTGCTGATCTGACATCTAGCCATGAGAAGGTGCTGGTCAGTGTCACTTGCAGGAAACCATAGCCTCATGTGTTTTCACTCACACTATCAAATCTTACACTACTGAGTCAACATTCTCTTTCGTTTTGCTTGGCAGAATCAGATGGAGGGCAGTTCTTAAATTTCAGGTTATGTCTTTACATTATCCGTTTGGAACCGTATGCAGATTTTAAATACTGGTAGTAATTTCTTAATGTGGGAAACTTTTGAATTAGAATGAAAGGAAAATTAGTAGTAGCCTCACAAGTTTTGTGTTGGTATCTAAGTGACTCATTGCTTTCAAAAAGTGACTTCACAATATTACTCCAGTGTATTATTTTCCTATTATTGTTATAATTCAAAAATGCCTCTGAACTGAAGATGATACCACTGAAATAATGTGGAATTTTACCATGAGTTTGCATGAGCAGTATCGTCCTGTAAAGCATAGCTGTCAGTTTGCCTTAGACTGAAGCTTTCCAATAATTAGAATTTTGGTAATTTTAGTTAATAAATATTTGGAGCATTAAAAAAGAGGTGATTTTTATGTCAAGGAAAAAAAAGCCTATGACATATGACATTGACCATTTCTGACAGTGGCATCATAATGCTTGTTGTTCCCCTTTACTAGGTTGAACTCTTGTTTCATTTAAAAAAAAAACACAACTATACGCATAGCTTTAAGAAACTGTTCATGGGACATAAATTTACTCAGTTTAATTTTAATCCTTTTTTATCAAACAAGCAGCTTTTCCTGTAATTCAAGAATGTCATGTAAGTGTAGATACTCTTAAAATTTGAAGCTGCTCTGCCTTGTTAAAAAAATAATTTAGTTGTGAATTGAATGTATGTCACTAGTATAGTTTTAGCATCTTTAAAAAGAGGTAGTGAGAAATTAGTAAAGACAGGGAGTGGTGCAAAACTAACTATGTTTAAATCCTGTACTTTGCTAAATGTGTGCTACGCTTTTATAGCTTGAAATTTTGTTCTTAGCAGTTACAAAATCCAGAAGTTCGATTTCAGCAACAACTGGAGCAGCTGAGTGCAATGGGCTTTCTGAACCGTGAAGCAAACTTACAAGCGCTAATAGCAACAGGAGGAGACATCAATGCAGCTATTGAAAGGCTGCTTGGCTCTCAGCCTTCATAGCAGTGTTTCTTTAACTTGAAAAAATGTAATTTATTTTTGATAACAGCTCTTAAATCTTTAAAATATTTGCTTTATTTCATTCTGACTCTTGGGATTTGTCTTGTTATAACTAAAATCGGTCTGATGCATTTTAAGGTGGAGTGCAGTAGCTTTCTTCAAACAGTGGGAATCAATGCATTTTCACTCTGTTGCATGCATCACACTTCTTTTGTTCTGCATTATTTGTGATTTTTTTGAAACAATATCAGCTTTCACAGTTCAGTGGACAGGTTTTGTCTGACCTACAACTGTCCAATTTATTTACTACTTAAATTACTACTGAAGGCTAATGTTTATGTAGAATACAAATTAAAAAGGAAACAAATTAATTGAAGCTACAATTTGTGGGTACCAATAATGCTTATTGTGATTTTGGCATGTATTTTTTTTTTTGCTAGCAAAATGCTGTAAGATTTATACCACTTGAGTAATCTACCATTTTTTGCTTTAATTTGTATAAAGTATAAACACAATATATACAATGGAGACAGATCATTTCTAGAGATTTACACATTGCAATAGAATGAAATTATAAGTAATGCAAAAAAGCCAGGGGGGGAAAAAAAGTCATAAGACATGTTTTGGTGTAGAATCTTCCAGTAACCATCTCAGCAGAAATGCTTAAGCAAGTTCAGTTAAAATATACTGGAGTTACTGTTCTGGTTATATCTTTACATTTAACTGTACAGAAACTTGCATTGTAACATTGTCTCAATAATCACAAAGTTTAACTGTAAATTACCTTTGTCATCGTGCAAATCAAAGGGGCACTGCCTTGTGCTCTGGAACAGCTTCTAAGGCTTTTTGGCTTGTTCCATTGAGATCCTAACATGTATTCTGATTTTTAATTGGAAACATTACTTTCATGGTCATGTGATACTCTAATTACTTTTAACCACCATGTAAAAAATACTGTATATCTTTTGAGTTTTTATTGGTAGTTACTTCTCTTGTGCACAGGTAAGAAATGAATTAAAAAAAATCTTTAAGCATCTTGTCTCAGTGTGTTTGCAGGTGATGATTACCTAACATTCAAGATGACTGATCAGTTTAAGAGTTGGCATTTGAGTGTAAACTCAGGGAATATTCACCATCTCTGGGCTAAGATTAATAAACAACTTTTGGAATGTGAGGTGGAGGGAAGAAAGTAAGAGGCATATGATGTTGAAGTTAAAATAGATGATAAGGTGATGTGAAATTAAAATGGAATCTATTGGTAAGATGAATTTGTTATAATCAAACTCAAACCCTTTTAAAATACCTATAGTTTGGGTACAAAATTATTCTTACTTTTATTTCCTAGCCAGCGATCAGACCCATCATCATACCTTCACAGTGACTTCTGTTGGGTGGGTAGCTTTCATTGCACTGAGTACAAGGCTGTGATAGGGAGGTGATAGGTAGCAAGTAGTTTCTGTAGAGTAACTGCTACCTTTAAACAGTTATTTTCACAGTGACTATTTATTAGGCTCTTCAAAGTAACTAATTTGACTTGACTTTCTAGTGTGACTCACTGGGACCTTGCTTTAAAAAAGTAAGACCCTTTGTCTTTCAGAAGGCATGTGCTTTTAAGAATACAATCTGTAACATCCAAAAAGTCTACTGTCAAATGACAGGGTGAGGTTGAGGTGGGGAAGGGAAGAATTTTTACCAAGCTTAACCAAGACACCAGAACAATGAATCTAACTAGCATGAACAGTTTCTTGAGACAACATTCAGTTCACCTATGCAAGTATTTCAGTTGCACATTAGAAACTAACAGATGCTGTATTTGAAGTCAAATTTTACTGCAATTCATCAAGAGACGGTTTGACCTAAATTCTAAAATAAGCCCTTGAACTAAGTTTCCTTCTTGAAGTACAACCAGTATTCATCAGTAACTGTTGTCAACTAGTAACAACAGTTGCTAACTTTCTTGTAAGTAGTGGTAAAAAACTGAGCCATCTTTTGCATAGGAGGAATTTTAGTTTTGTCAGAAAACAGTAAGTAGAATAAGGTTTCTAGGTTGGGTTGGCTTTTTTATTGCATTGTTAACAATGAAAGATCACTCTTGTTGGTTTACTAGCATATTACAGTGATCCTGTTCGTCGTCGTCTGTGTTGTGTCTCCCCCCCCCGACTTGTGGCCCTTTTCCTGTCCTTGTTTAAAATTCTCTCTTCAGAAGTGTCATCTGCCTCTTCTTTCAGAAGAAACCTTTTGGTTAACTCTGAGCACTTTGGTAACTTGTATTTGAAAACAGCTGCTTGCATTTTGGATCAGAAGAAGGGCGTGTGTGCATGAAGCTTGTGACTTTTGTTTTCCTCCTTTCTTCTTTTCGTCTGCATTGAACCAAATGATCCGATAGGATTGTCTACAAAACTGCCTTGCCTGATCATCTACTGCTAGAGAAAGCAACTGCTCCAAAAAAAAAAAAAGCTGAAAGACATGGTAGCATGAACTGACACATGCCATTTAAAATGTGTACACTCAAACCACATACTGTTACAGTACGACTGGGGATGTGACAGCAGGATGGCTAGTTTTGTAAAGGATGTCTAATTCTCTTCTTGGTTCAGTGCCTGCATGATAAAATATCCACCTCAATTTAGAGTGGAGTTGGCAGGCAGCTGGGTCTCTTCCTTTGCCTGTACAGATAACCTCTGCAGGTCAAGAAGACTTTACCCTTCCTGTGCTTAATGTATGAATGGATACTGTTATTGCCATCTAACATTTCATTTTTATTTCCTCATTATAGCATTGCAAAATGCTTATGCTGTAGTAGGTACGGTATTTACACAGCGTGTTACAAACTGCTTAGCACACATTGTTGAGGGGGTATAGCGCGTGTACCTTCCACAGATAACTTGTGCTCGTGGCAGAGGTAGGAAAATCAGTTTATGACTCCAGATTTTTGACTCCTCCTTAGTTTTTGCTGCCTTTGCTAAATGTATTTCAAAATATGGACAGAAAACTTGCATCCAAATAGCCTGAGGTAAATATGAATAACCTGCCCAACTAACCTGAATACAACATCCCTAATACATTGTTATTTTCTTTTTTTTTTTTTTTTTTTTTTTTTTCTCTGAAAAGGTAAGTGATTGAAATGTTGTAGGATTGTTTTTGGGCAGGGAAATGAATTTATATACTGGGATTGTCATGTGATCTATTCCTTCCACTGTCAGCATGCACAGCATCATTAAAATTGGAGAGTGGTTGTATGTGGTTAACGTTTGGATGACTGACCTCTTAATCTTCTAATTTGTGATGCCCAGGATATAAGTGAAGAAAAGTAATGCTTTGTTGTCTTTCAGAATAGCAGGTAGGTAACAGTCAACTGGTTGACAACAACAAGACAGCATATGGAATTGTCTCAAATTGTGGAGCCGGGGTCCACAGACAGCCCTGTGAAATGCAAATTCAGTATTCTTTATAAGCAATTTGTGTGTTATTGCAGCTACATGTGAAGAGGCCGGCAGAAACCAAGCAGGCTTTCCCTGTAGAGGGGAAAAAGCCAACCTGCAAGACCCTGTGGATTTAGCATTGTGAAGTTCAGCCATGTGGCACTGTGGCAAAAGTTTAAGAAACAGTAAATTGCAACAGTTCTGTCCAGCTAAGTGCACAAGCTTGGTTCTGTGTTGAGGAAAATAAACATTAGGTGGAGCATCTGTCCCCCTCTGATGTGGGCCAAGGTGGAGGCAAACTCCCTGCGCTTCTGGGATTCTGAGAGTAATGCGGATGCTCCACACTGCCAACAGATCAGCATTCTGGACCAAAAAAAAAAAAATTGGTTTAACTTCTTACTGCATTTGTCCCCATACTGCCACCTGTGCTTTCTTGGAAACAGGAGGTTCTCATGAACACTAGGTCTGCAAAATATGAGTAGCTTTAAGTGCTGATTCTAGTTAATGTGGAAGCTAGAATAGTGAAGGTACAGAGGTGTCTTTTTTTAATGGAAGGATGTAAGTGGAAATTACAACCTTCAAGCACTAGCTAAATGGAACGCAACAGACTAAAGTACTGAACTTCAGTACTGAAACCTGCACCTGTCATTCACAAGATAATTGGCATGCTAATTTAAAGGGTCAGTCTGTCCTTTCTGCATCATCTGAACTGTGGAAATACTTTGTTTTGCTTTAAGTAAAAGCAAAAGGCACATGTATTAAAAGGTTAAGGGAAGAAATATTCCTGTCATTGGAGCAGAGCGAGAAATGCCCTGACCTAATCTGGAGAAGCATGAGATGCCTGTAATTAAGAACGTATTATTTTGTTTAGAAAAGACTTCCAAAACCCAAGGTGTTTACGTAGACTTCCCTAAGAGAGAACATTTTTTTAAGTGTTGAGTACAATTTTCTGTTAGTTCCAACTGCTTTGTCAGCATGCTATAAATGCTGGCAAGCGGATCTGAAAATTGCAGTCTAGGCTTTTCGGTGCTCATGCTTGAAAATGTTGCCCAGTATTTATTTATTTGAAGGTCTGATCATGTCTGTTTGTGACAGGATGCAGCTGCTTTCCCCTCATGGTACAGTGTCCTGATGTAGTTTTATTGTGTGTGGAAAAAAAATAAGCATAAGTCTGTACTTAATAATCGGTATATTAGAAAAGCTCTTTGTTTGTAAAATGGTGTAAATTGGGAAAATACGAAGACTCCATTAAAAGCAGAGGTACCACAAGAGGGTGCCATTTCTTTGATTTTCATAGCTACTAAAGTTATTTTTACAGTTCTGACAAGTGACTTGCTCTGAAGAGGCGCGTAGTCTTTGAAATGTGAGGTTGTTAAGAATCAGCCAGATGTGCCTGTCTCTTGCACTTAATTTTGGCTCCAAGTCTTACGCTTGCACCTTGGCTCTCAGAATACAGAGGCTCTGAATTGATAGCAAGCGTTTTTTTCTAGTGCTGCTGTAGTGTACAGCGGCAGACTAAAACTGGTAACTGCCAGGTATTCTCTCTCCAGCTCACGAACAAACAGAAGAAGACTGCTTCTGGGTGGATGTCTTAATGTCTACAATCCCAAATCTGTATCTAATAATGCCCGCTTTCAGATAGGTAATGCCCATTCAAGGCACTGATCTATGCACAGTAGTTCGTTCAGTAAACCACAAAGCCATTACTACTTACACAAAATGAGAAACAAGAAGATTGTTTTTCAACTAGTTGCCCAGGTAAAAATTGCACCAAAGATGCTTTGAAACATGATTTTTTGCTTATAAAGGAGTTCATCCATCATAGAAATGAAAAAAAAAATAATTGCATGACATGCTAGAAATAATTCATGTGCAACTGCACATGGGGATGACTCCATGCAGATGGGACAAATCTTTCTTACAGAAACTATGCAGTTTTCACTGAGTTAAAAAAGGTGCTAAAGGTGCACCTCTTGTGTAACAAGGCAT